TGCAAAGCTTGTGGTCTGATGTTGGGTCTTGCACATTTCAGGTGCAAGGTACTCAGGCACAAAATCCTGTCCACCACTTAGACCTCACGCCATGGCTTGAGCAGCATGACTCCTGGCTCTTGTGGCTAGAGGGCACTGTACAATGGCCCTACACCAAAAGCTACCCTGGGATGGGCACAGCCAAGAGTGAGAGGTAGTAGCATTGTCATAGAGCAGAGATTCAGTGATTTGTCTTGGCCAAATTCCACCATCACAGTGGTACTTATTTTCAGATTATTAGGTGAATTGGGTGTTGTAAAGCATGCCTGTACTTGGGAGGCTGAGGCAAGAGGGTCACAGTGAGTTTGATACCAGCATGATATACAATGAAATCGTGCCTCAAAAAGGTCAGGGCGGGAGAGGGATAGGAAGGCTGAACATTGTGGCACATCTTTAATCCCAGTGCTCTGGGATGTGGAGGCAGGCAGATCTCTGTGAATTTGAGGTCATCCTCGTCTATGTAATGAGTTCCAGGACAGCCAGGGCTACATAGAGAGACCCTGTCTCAAAACAAACGCTTTAAACTCATCTCTTTAACTCAGGCCAGCCTCAAACTCACTAGGTAAACCAAGAATGACTGTGAACCTCCTGTCTCTACCTCCGGAGTGTTACCACACCTGGTTTGTGGTACTGGGGATCAAACCTAGGGCTTTGCAAATGCCAGGTGAGCACTCTGTCAGCTACTGAGCTATATGCCCCAGATCTTGTTTTATCTTGCTGTGTTTCCCAAGCTGGCTTGAACTTGTGATCCATTTCCATATCCCAAGTGCTGGGATTACAGGCAGGTGCCACCACACTGCCCAGTTTTAGAGATTTTTTTTTTTTCTTTCTTCCTTTATAGTCCTGACTTGGTTTTGGTTTTTTTGAGACAGGGTCTCTCTATAGCCCTGGCTGTCCTCAAACTTACAGAGATCTGCCTGGCATCTCTGACGTGTTGGGATTAAAGGCATATGCAACCATGCCCAGCAAAATTCGGTTTTTTCTTCTTTTCTCCCTCTCCTCCACCTTTTTTTGTTTGTTTGTTTTGTTTTATTTTTTGAAACAGGGTTTCTCTGTGTAACCCTGGCTGTCCTGGAACTTACTCTGTAGACCAGGCTGGCCTCAAATTCTTGAGATCAGCCTGCCTATGTCCCCGACCCCATGCTAGGATTAAAAGCATGTACTGCCACCACCACCTGGCTGATGTGTTTTTTTCTTAATTAAATTTTAAAAAGTACTGTATAGACTTTGAAGTCCTCAAAGGAGTAAGGAAGGTCTTGCCCTGCTTCTGACTCTTGTATATTTCTTGAATGTGTTCAGATTTTTAGACATCCCAGTTTTAGGTAAGGGTAGCTCCACCTGTCACTTCACAGAACTTCTCCATTCTCTCCACAGCAGTCAAGGCCACAGCTCTGACCAGAGGGCATGTATCTCAGAATCTACACTTCCAGAAATACTCTGATGCTACCAGCCCAGGACCACTGTGAGTAAAGGGCACTATTTACTTGTTTTGTGGAACAATTGGGAAAAAGACGAGACTATCTTTTTTAAAAAAACTGACAGGAGCTGGGTACATGTGTGGAGGTCAGAGACCAACTTGTAGGAATCTGTTCTCACAGGTCCAGGGCTAGGACTCATCAGGCTTAGCAGCAAGCACGTTCATCCCCTAAACCATCCTGCTGGCCCCAGAACATCTCTTCTTGCTTTTGCAGGCTAACACTGTTTTCCATTGGTAAGTCAGCAGTTCTGTAGTTTGCCTAATGGTAATTTTCCATTCCCATCATCCCCTCCTTTTGTATTAACTTGGAATTCTGTTAGGAAGAATGCTACCTGGTCAAACATGTATGGATTGAAGGGCACCTGCTTTATGCTGTGGGCAAAAAAACATATGCGATCACGGCCTCACAACTCACATGGCCAGCTGGGACCCTTCATGGTGGGCACACAGGTGTCTCCAACTTCAGTGGCTGCTGTCTGAGCTCTTCCTTCCTGGCAAGTTCCAGACTTATCTTCCTCTGATTACTGACTTCCTCAGTGAGCCAGGCTTTTCTCATCAGAGTATGACACTAAATGTAGGACCTACGGCTTAGTGCCACTGTGTCCCAGGTGCCTTAACTTACTTTTTTACTCAGTATTAATATACACAACCTAGTTTCACAGTGCGAACTTTACTCAAGCAAGGAAACACCTGTTTACTATGATGTCCTTGTAGGCTCTAGTCCAGACACTACTTGCCAGCTACTGGGCTCCTGCTTGTCTCCCAGCTCCTCCGACAGCATGCTTTTGCGCTTCACTTGTAATTTAGTGAAGTGCCCTTGTGTACTTATGTCTGCCCTTCCCCCTCCTACTCCTTCCTATCCACCCACTCCACCCACCACTCACTGCCTCCTATGACTGTCACATCCCATTCACTTCTGGCTTATTCATCTCAGATTTTTACACAAATGAGGAAGCGGGCTCCACTGTCTTCAGCTCTTTTCTCAAGATGAGTATTTCTTTTGGGTTGAGCAGTACTGTGGGCTCAACTCCAGGTGGCATTAGCTGGAGCCAGAAGACTGTCAGAATGTGGCAGCAGGGTGAGCTGGTCAGCAAGCTTCCCAGCCTTTGACTTACAGGGAGGCCTGTCCACTGGGCAGTTTGGCTTCTTCCCAGTATAGAGCCTGGGGTCCAAGAGAAAGTGCCCAATAGAAAAGTAGCAGCTGCCTGCATTAGATCTGGATGGACCCAGGAACTAGGCTACATCACTTTGTCCTTGTCCTAGCCATCAACCTCTCCAGAGTTCCAGGGAGGGAACATACACACCCATCAGAAACTACAGAGTAGACCTGCTTTAGAACTATCAGATTTCCTAGATCAAACCTTCATCTTCAGCACCCTTTGAACAGTCATGTTTTGCTTGCATTTTTCATGTTCTATTTGCTGTGTCCCAGGAATCAATCAGTTCCTTCTATCTTAGCAGCATGCTCCTTGTGCCATGGCTTTGTGAACCAGCCTCTTCATCCTACACAGGTACCTCAGAAGCTTAAATATGTTCATATTCTTGTGCTTATTTATTTTGAACCTGTTTAATAGCACTTTCCTATGTAGACCAGACCGTAAGAGAATATTAACTATGTAAAGGTGTGTTGCATTTGTTTGTGCTGCATTTGTTTAACTATGTGAAGATGTGTTGCTGTTTCACCTTGCCTAAGGTATCTGACTAGTCTAATAAAGAGCTGAATGGCCAATAGCTAGACAGTAGAAGGATAGGCAGAGCTGGCAGAGAGAATAAGTAGGGGGAATCTAGGCTCAAAGGAGAGAGGGAGAGCCAGCCACCAGCCAGCTAGCCATGGAGGAAGCAGGAAAGTTGGACATAGAAAACGAAAGGTCAAAAGCCCCGAGGCAAAACATAGATGAAGAGAAACAGGTTAAATTAAGTCATAAGAGCTAGTGGGACAAGCATAAAATAAAGCTAAGCATTCATAACTAATAAGTCTCTGTGTCATAATTTGGGGTCTGGTGGTCCAAAAAGGCCTGCTACGCCAGACTGGCCTCAATGTTGTGGTCCTTCCGCCTCAGCTTACAAGTGCTGGAATTAGAGGGAGGCATGAGCTTATTTTGCAATTCTTAAGGTCTTCAGGGGAAAGTTCTGGCAATTCAAAACAAAGTGCTTATGTTAGCTTCTTGATGGGGTTTTTGTTGTTGTTGCTTTTGCTTTTTTCTTTTTTTTCTTTCCAGATCTTTGAAATATACCACATGCATGAAGATCCAAGGTGTCAGATCTCCTAGCTAGAGTTCTATACCAGTGCTCTTAACCACTGAACATCCCTCCAGCCTGCCCTGGGTTTTTAGGGTACTGCCCCAGGTCTTCTCCACAGTTGTAACCATCTGCACTTCTGCCATGTCACATTCTACACTATGTTAGCTCAAACCTGCGGGTCAGTATAGTTCTGCATCATCAACTGCATTAATTAGTGGCCAAAGCAGTTTCTCTCAAGTCAAAACGACTGGATTTTGCTACATTTCAAATTTGTTATTCAGTAACTGAACAGTAGTAATTATATTTAGATGTATGAGTGTTTTGCCTGCATACATATCTGTGTAAGACTTCTGTGTCTGGTGCCTGCAAAGGCTCGAAGAGGGGCATCAGACCTAGGACTGGAGTTATACATGGTTGTGAACCACCCATGTGGGTGCTGGAAATGAAGCCCAGGTTCTCAGGAAGAGCAGCCAGTGCTCTCAACCACTGAGCCAGCTCTCAATCCCCCAGGCAGTCATTTTTTTATATAAGCAGGCTGATTGTGGTGGGACAAGCCTGTGATCCCAGAGACAGAATGATTCTAGAGCCCCAGGCCAATCTAGATTACTTAGTAACTGTCTCACAAAACAAACATACATACCTAGACTAGAAGCATAAAGGCGTGCAGGGCAAGGTAGCTCACACCTTTAATCCCAGCACTCAGAAGGCAAATCTCGAATTCAAGACCAGCCTGGTCTATATAAAGAGTTCCTATCGCAAAGAAAAAAGAAAAGAAAATCTTTTCACTAAAGCCATTTGGAAATAGATTTCTGTCATTCTGCCTGAAGGCTGAAGCATGAGAAAACTGCCCTTTTGCAACTATGGGTTAAAAAGAAAAAAAAAAAAAAAAAAAAAAGGGCAGTAGGAGGGTGCCGCAGGAGAGATGGTTCAGTTTCCAGCACCCCTATAGGGTGACTCACAACCAACTCCAGCTCCAGGGGAATCCAGTGCCCTTTTCTGGCCTCAAAGGGCAGTGCACTCATATGCTAGTGTACCATTTAAATAAAAATAAAATATTCAGGAGCCAAGTGTGATGCTGCTTGCCTTTAATTCTAGTACTTGGGAAGCAGAGGCAGGCAGATCTCTGAGTTCCAGGTCATCCAGAGCTACAAAGTAATAATATTTCAAAAAAAGAGATACCATCCCACCATCTTTCTCCAAATGAAAGCTATTTCCAGTAATCATTTAAATATAAACAAAAGACTGTTAAAATGTTACTTTTATTGAACTCACCTGAGTTAAGTGTGGGACAATGAAACAAGTACATGTTTTTATATATATGGATATATACAGCATGTCAAGGAGGCAGCCTTTCAAAAACATGCTATGGAAAAGAGGAAGACTGACAATATGCCTGGATTAACAGAAGCTCTGGATACTGATTAACCCATATGCAAATCCAGTAATCTCCAAAGGATTTGGCAAAGATGTATTTTCTTTTCATTTCCAGTCTTTTAAAGTAAGACAGATTTGCTTACAATACAGCTGATTTTAAAAGCACACAAAATTTAACTACAAACAATGGGATTAAATGCAGGAGAGTGGTGAAGGTGCCAGCAACAAAACTGACAACCCAAGGCGGTGATGGCAGACAATGAGGCTGCACAGTGGGGTTTGTGGATAATTTTAGCTTCGCCTGGCTGTTTAATTCACATAGTAAGAGGTCTTTACAGACACACCTGTTTAATTAACTACATTTGTATTTTCTACTATGTAATAGGATTATAAGGCCACAATATTCTTTTGGGACAAACCCTTTAATCATTTTAATAATCACTTACTCATTCTTTTGAAGTGTAAAGTGTCTTAACTGGATTACAATTATAGATCATTTTTAAATACACCATTGCTACTATATTAAAATTATTTATACTATTTATATCTAATATTCAAAGAAAATTTACTAATAAATGCTACAATAGGTATCAGTCTGACATGCTTATTATTAATTGATCCCATAGGTATAATTATAGGTCATGATATTAGTCTATTCTGTCTAACTAAATCAGGAACACTGCATTTACAGAACAAATACACACACATAGTGCAGACACCCAAGGATCATGCTAGTTCTTCAGTTATCTGTCACAGCTCAGACATGAATCCTCACTGTGTGAACAAAAGTCAGCTCCAGTTCTTCATCAAAAGGTGCTAGTGGACGTTGTCAGACGCCTTCCAATGTAGATCCTAGACAGAAAAGGAATGGCAGTCAGTCAGGTCTCACAATTCTCAGGGCAGGTCACTGTGATTACAGCTTGCAGAAGGGAACTAACCACCTTATACTTAATAAAGTATGATTATCTGTAATCTTTATCAAGTGTTTTAGTCATCAAATATGTATTTCATATTGGTCTAATTTTTCTTAAATTAAAATTTAATTTTGGGGGTTTTTTTCAATTATATTCTCATGGCACAAAAGACTGAAAGTACAAAAAGAAGAAACTAATATAACAGCAGGGATTGAAACTCAATGACAAAGTACCTATAAGGGCCTTAACACACAGGTTTAAACCCCAGGACTGCCCCGCCCACACACATACACACAAAGTACAAAACAACCACAAATGTTATCACTATGGAGCTTCGCAGTTCCTTCAGTGTGCAAAATGAGCTACACAGCTGCATGCCAAGAGAGGCGGCTTCACATCCAGTTAGTTCATCACTACTAACATCAAAGCCCAACCAAGGAATAAGTAATGATGCCTCCCTTCCCCAGTCAAGTAGAGGGGAGTGAAGTCTAGGAAAGGAGACAGGAAGAATTCCAGCTGGCCAGGTCTGTGCAGAGTTGGGAGAAATAATTCTGTGGGCAGTGAGCTATCTGGAACTAAGGAGGGTAGCTTTCATCTCAAAAGACTGAAAGTTGCTAAGAGATCTTGGGTAGGGTGGCACCATCAAGCTCTAAGACTGGGAAGGATGCAGGACAGAGACAGTAGGTAGGAGCTGGATGCAGAAATGATTTCCTGAAGAGAAACTCAGCTTGGGTACTGAACATGTAGATTCCTAGACCCTATCCACACGCCTTGCTGGTTCTGTTCTGTTTTTGTTTTTTGAGACAAGGTCTCAGTGAGTAACCCTGGCTGGCCTGGAATTCAGAGATCCCTGCCTCTGACTCCCAAGTGCCACTGAACCCTACTACTTGTTAGTTCTGAGAAAAGTTCCAGGTGATTGGATGCACCTGACCATGAGACCAAGTACCAGGAGAGAACTACACATGGGGAAGGGATGAAGGCAGATAGGGTTCCAGTCCAGCAAGCTCAGGAGCCTCTGGCATCCAGGAAGCCATTTCTACAGGAGGGTCCATACATCTGTGGGTCTGCAGTACAGGAGTTAAGGGCAGTGAGGACTGGAATTGGATGTACCTGAGACCCACAAAATCCCAACAGATCAAACATGAAACAGACCAGGTGTCATAAACCACATGAACAGCCTTTGGGGGGAAAAGAATAAGCAGACAACAGAGCTTTCAACCCACAGAGCCTTCAACCCAAAACATATCCCCAACTAACCGGAGGCCAGAAGCCCACAGTGCCATCCAGGCCATTCCGATAACTCAAAGCCATACCACACTGTCTTTATATATGGTCTTGTGAAATCATCCCCACATGGATAGAGGAGAGGGTAGCAGCAGGCCTAAAGAAAGTAAGGGCTGGGGATGTAGTTCACTTGGCAGAGTGCTTAGCCACCATCTATGAAGCCCTCAGTTTAACCCCAGGGCCATATAAATTGAATGTGGTGGCACATGCCCATAATCCCAGCATTCAGGAGGTAGACAGGAAGAATGAAGCCTAATCTCACCCTTGTGAGACCAACTGGGAATCCATTTGTCCCAGTCCCTAGTGTCCTCTTGGTAGCCTGCTCTGGCTCTTCAGCACTGGTCTCATCTAGAGAATCCACAGTTCTATTCCCTGGTCTATTTTAGTCTAAACTTGATACAAAAGCAGAAAGCTTGGAGGCCTTATTTATTCCACTATTGCCAAGAATTCAACAGAACCATCCACCCACTATAGAGGTGGCACAAGAAAGACTGAACATGAGAACTCCTGTGTAAGACATGGTGGATAAAGGGGCAAGGGCCTTTCACAGCACAGTTTCTGTACTTCATGACATAACAGCGACTTGGAAGTAAGTTTGTGAAAATGCACCAAGCTATGATATATCTATCTATCTCTCATCTCTCTCATCTCTCTCTCTCTCTCTCTCTCTCTCTCTCTCTCTCTCTCTCTCTCTCTCTCTCTCTCTCTCAATAACCAATGAGAACATCTATTCTGGGGTCTACAATTGCCAAGGCCTACCCTGCTAGCACTCACAGAAGCATCACTTACCCCAGTCCAATGGCCAGCAGGTGAGACAGCAACAGAGATGGAAGAAAAACCTTCAGGAAGTCTGCTGAGAAAATGCCTCCCTTCTTCATAACGCTTGTGTTTCTCATGCTGAGAGTAGTTGTGCGCTTCGGGTGTTTAAAAAGGAACTCCCTGGGGTGTAAAGAAACTACCAGTCAATATGTCCTCTTGTCAAGGGAAGAGCCCATGATACTGAAAACACTTACTTGGGGGGAATATTTTCTGGCCGACTTGACCAATCCCATATCCAATCTGAGTTTTTCTTCAAGATGCTTTCAACTTCTCTTCTTCTCTCGATATAATCTTCCTCAGACTAAGGAAAAGTATTAATAAAACAAGTGAGCTTCCCACATTCACACCACAGAGTACCCATAGTCTCTTATGTCCTTGTTGAGGCCTTTCTATAGACTGCCAGGAGAAGGTGTGGTCCAGATTAAAGGTGGATCTTCCCACCTCAAAGATCTAGATGAAAGGTTTATCTTCCAACTTCAAAGTGGGTCTTGCAACTTCCAATGATTTAATTAAGAAAAAATCCCTCCCAGCTATGCCCAGTCATTTGGGTTTTAGTTAATTCTAGATTTGTCAAATTGACAACCAAGAATAGTCATCACAATTTCACCCCTTTCAACTTAACACACAATCCTATCTCCTTATGCCATGCTTAATTTCCAAATGAAAACAATAACCAGGCCATAACTACACCTAACATGGTATTAACTATCCCATGTACAACTGCAAATGCATTATAAATTTAGACATTTAGGCAGTAATGTCCTTTGAGGGACATTCTTAGCATCTCAAACTAAAATATGATAACCACTGACTTTCTCTTAACTTACATTGTATGATAACTAAATCAAGTAAAGGAAACACAAATATCTGTAAACACATTTTTAACAAAACATGACAGAAACATTCATGTCAATTATAGTCCTCATTTCTACAACTGGTCACATGGCCTTAGCAGCTGAAATTTAGAACTACCTTCCTCTACTACCCATTCTGTATTTCCTCCACCTTCAGCAAGTATGTCGGGGAATCTTGGTTCTTTTCCTGGGGGGAGGGGGGGTGACCCATACCTTCATTCCTGAAGAGTCTGTGCCCTTTGTCATCCTGCCTAGATTAAACTGCTGTAGTTCCCCATTGACTTCAATCACAGGACATGGTAGCTCTAAAGGATCCCCTGCATCCTAGACATGTTTCTTCCACTGTGGAAAAGCAATCCAATTTCCCCCTGCTAATCTGGATCAATCACCCTTCCCAACACTTTTATTCCTTTCTTAGCCTTGGAATTTTGCCTCTCTTGGCTTAAGAGGATCACAAAATGAGCTTCCAGTTCAATGGAATGTTTGCTGTGTCTCCTGGCAGAATCGCCCACCACCATCACCCAAAAAAAAAAAAAAAATTCTAGACCAGCAGAACTTAAGGTCACAGAACAAGAAGAAAAAAAATTCCCTAGGAGTAACCATGGGAACTACTCTCTTTTCCACCCCTTGATTTTTGGATCCATAGATCCTGGTTATAGAAGAAACTGTACCATATACTAGGCACTGATTTAAAGGGTATACCACCTTCTGGAGAACCTTGCATGCCCTCCAGGCTGCTGAAACCTAATTGGCCCTGTGTCTACAGAAGGTTAATCCATCTATCAGGCCAGCTGCTTCAGGTGGTGGGGAACATGGTAATGCCAGTGGATTCCATGATCATGGGCCTACTGTCACAGTTGTCTGGCTGTGAAGTGAATTTTTTTGGTCAGAAGCAATGCTGTGTAGAATACAGTGGATAAGCATTCTGTAAGTCCACTGATGGTGGGTTTGGCAGAAGCATTATGTGCAAGAAGAAAGGCAAATCCATGACTAGAATAAAAATCTACTCCAGGAAGGACAAAGTGTTGTCCTTTCCATGGCGAAAGTGGTTCATGTAGTCAACCTGCCACTAGATCTCTGACAGTGCCATCCATGTCTAGGGCTCAGTGTTGGTCTCTGCTGTTGGCACATCTGGCACTCAGCAGAAGCTGTAGCCAGTCAGCCTTGGTGAGTGGCAATTCATGTTGCCGAGCCCACACATAACTGCCATCTCTGCCACCTTGGCCACTTTGTTCATGGGCCCACTGGGCAACGATGGGAATGGCTCTGGAAAGAGACTGACTCTCCATAGAATGGGTCATCCTATCTACTTGATTACTGAACTCCTCTTCAGCTAAAGTCACCTTTCAATGAGCATTTACATGGAACCTAAGTATTTTCACATCCTTTTCCCATCTGGAGAAATCTGTAACACATACTCCTTCCTGAGATGTCCTTCTCACCAATTTTCAAGTAATGTTCTTTCCAAACTCCTGACCATCCAGCCAATCCATTGGCTACAGCCTATGAATTCAGTAAACGGTCGTTTCTCTTTCGAAACACAATGTATGACCATGTATACTGCCCAAAGTTTTTTGCCCACTGTGAAGATTTCCCTTCTCTGGCGTTGTCTTTCAGGGTTGTCTCAGAAAGGGGTTGTAATGTTGTAGCTGTCCACTTCTGATTCACTATTTTCCCTGGCAGAGGCAACTTGAAAGGCCTTCATTTAGTCTTTCCAACCATAACAGCTCTCACTCTACAAGTCAGGGAACCAATGTAAGAATTCTGCCAAGAGTTCACAACTGTAACTCCAGTTCCAGGGGATCTGACACACTCATAAAGACATATATGCAGGGAAAACCCCAATAATTAATTAAAAAAATAAAACTTTAAAAAAAAAGAATTCTGCCAACTTCTAAGTATATCTATCCCAAGTAAACATTCTGGGACTGGGGAAATAACCACAGGATGAACTCAGGTACCACTGGACCTACTCTGAGTCAGACTTCAGCCAAAAATCCATTAATTGCCACCATAAACACCTACTTTAACTAGCACAATGTTTCTTGGGGTCTCCTGGAATCAACATCAATTCATATCTAGTATCCAAAAGATCCTAGAATATCTGATTATTCCCTTTCCCCCAGTGTACAGTTACCTAGTCTTGTCTCACACAAGCTGTCCTTTATGGACACGCCCACTTTGTCCAAGTCCTACTCAATCTGCTAATGTAGTAGGTTTAGGGGCTGGAGATGTAGCTGAGTCAGCAACATGGTAAGCACCTGCCTACCATGTACAAACAGTCCTGGGTGTTCCATTCCCAACACCACATCAACAGGGTTCGGTGGCACGTGCCTTTGTCTCTGCACTTGGGAGTGCTAGGGCTAGGGGAAGCTGAAGTACAGCCTAAGCTATAGAGTAGGAAAGACCCCACCTCAGAATACTAGAAACATTGTTGTAATGCCATGAGGCCTAGATAACACCAGAACCTATTCTAGCAGAAGAAAATGAGAACATTCTAAAATGAGTCAAATAGGTGTGGCTAAGTAAGTGGAATATTATAACAAGCTAGTTTAAAAGATGCTTTTGAGAAAAAGCAGACTACAATTTCAGCTACATTTTAAAAATTATGTAACAGCACAAAATACTAATTAAAATGGTCTTCAAAATAGGAGATAATAGGAAATTTTCTCTTGCATTCTTAAAATTCTGGAACTGAGTACTTACGTGGGGGGTGGAAGGTATTTAAAATAATACAAAAATTTAAAAATATGACTGCTCCAAAAGTGGACATGCACTCAAGTGTATAGTAGGTTGAGTGAGTTCCAAAAGCTTTTGGAGCCCAGATTGGGGCCAAACAGAGTTCCCTGAAGAAAGCCTAGGCTAGAGGTAAAGACAGTCGGTTTCTGGTGATGGGATACTGGTAAAAATTGGCACAGGAGGAAACAATGCTTTTAGTAGAGACCTTGCTTCCTAAGAGAGCTGCTGAACTATTACAGATGTTATTCGTCTTCACCATATTTAACATTATGCACTACCAGATAAAAATGAGCAAGATTCCACTGCCTCAAACTACTACATAGAAATGGTATGGATAAGAACAGTCAGCTTAAGCAATAATCCATCTACATGTCTCACTCTGAGGTTCTGTGGTGGTTTAATTAAGAATGGCCCCCCACAGGCTCATGTTTGAATGCCTAGTCATCAAGGAATGCCACTATTTGGGAGGGATTAGGAGAGGTGGTCTTGTTGGAGTAGGTGTGGTCTTGTTGGAGGAAGTATGTCACTAGGTGTGGGTGTGGGTTTCAAAAGCCCAGGCCAGACCCATAGTTCTTCCTCTTCCTGCTGCTTACAGATCCAGATGTAGAACTTTCAGCTACTTCTCCAGCACCATGTCTGCATGCTTCCTGCCATAATGAGAATGGACTAAACCTCTGAAACTATAAGCAAGCCCAAATTAAATGCTGTCTTTTATAAAAAGTTACTGTGATCAAGGTGTCTCTTCACGAAAATAGAACACTGACTAAGACAGGCTCTATCTACAATAATGCTAAGGACATTGTATATAAAGCTCATTAAGTTTCTGTTAATGTTAGAAAAGTGAGCTCATGGACTGGGAAGTAGCTCAGTTTGCAGAATGCTTGCCCAGCATGCACAAGGTCCCAGGTTCTAGTCCCACACTCACTACAAAAGCTACAAAAGCCAAGTGTAGCTGTACACACCTATAACCAGTTCAGCACTAGCAAAGTGGATTTCCCAATAAATTAACTAATTTTTAAAAGACAGTTTTAAAAATATAAGCTGTGTAGGGCTAGGAAGATGGCCCAGTGGTTAAGAGTACTTGCTGATCTTCCAGAGGACCCAAATTTGGTTCCCAGCACCCAGACCAGATGGCTGACTCCTGCCCATAATTCCAGTTCCAGGGGATCCAATGCCTTTGGCTTCTGGACACCTGCAGTCATGCGCACATACCATACAGACATAGACAGACACAATTTAAAATAATTTTTTAAAAACTCTATTAAAGCTGGACAGTGGTGGTGCACACCTTTAGCCCCAGCACTCGGGAGGCAGACCCAGGCGGATCTCTGTGAGTTCGAGGCCAGCCTGGTCTACAGAGCGAGAACCAGGACAGGCACCAAAACTACACAGAGAAACAACAACAAAATGCTGCTGTTCATGCATAGGTCTTGAATTTGGTTCCCACCACCCACACCAGGCAGCTTATAACTGTCAATAACTTCATGTCCAGAGGATACCTGCATATATGTAGCATTCTCTCACACAGACATACATATATGCATAAATAAAAACTTGAAAAACACAGATCCCCAACACTCCTGTAAAATGACAGGCACAGTGGAACAGTTCTGTAATCTCAGCCCTGGGAGGCAGAGGTAGGAATATCACTAGGGCTCACTTGCCAGCTTGTCTAACCAAACTGGTGAACTCCGTGTTCAATGAGAGACCCTTTCTCAAAAACTAAGGGGGAGCAAAGGTAGTGGGGTGTGTGTATGTGTGTGTATGTGTGTATGTGTGTGTGTAAGAGAGAGAGAGAGAGAGAGAGAGATTATGCAAAAGTCACCAGACTGATGATGTGCTAAACCTTATAGCATCCTCCTATCTATGGCTTACCAGAGTGCTGTTTTTCTCTCCAAAGCTGTGGGTGTCTATTTCAGCTCTGTTGGTATCTTGTGGTGTCTGGGAGCGAGGTGGGCTTGATTAGGAAATGGACAAAACAGAGCAGCATGTTAATTCTGTCATAAAAAGCATAAATTCCAAGCAGGGCTAATGCCTCAATAACGGGGATGGAGAGGGCCCTCAATAGCATGCCTCTTCCCTTCTGCCTAACACCAGACCAGGCCAAACAATTCCTTAGTCTTTTCAAATGAGCATACAGGAACCAGCTAGACAGTTCTGAGGGAAGCTCCACCCTTCTGCATGATCTGTTGCATAGCCCTCAGAAGCATCTGACCTTCGATCACTGACTCTCAGCCACACACCTTGGATTCAAGCCCTAGTAGTGCTACCTAGGAAACAAGCCAGCTGGGGGGCATGAAGGAAACTGCTCAGAGTCAGTATTCACAGTGAACAGATTCAAAGGGGGGGGGGGGTATATTAATGGACTTTGTTATTTGTCCCTAGGTTTAATTAATATGTTCCCTCCAGACTAAGCCCCAGATCACTCCCTCCCAGCAGACCAGAATTGCTGCTGAAGTTATTCCCAAATGTGGCCTTAGACCTGGAGGCCCACTCACAAAAGCATGCACAACTGTGATTATTCATCTGCTAGGAACATCAACACTGTAAGAGACATCCAGAAAACCTACCTGTCACAGTGAGAACTCTTGGAGCTACTTCGTCCAGATTCATGCTGGGCATCCAGCAGTATTTTTTCCATGTCACCATTATAAATAGAGACAGAGGCTGGAACACTGCTCCCATTCCCATTGCTGAAGTGCAGTTCTACCCAAGAACCTGAAGACAACAAAAAGAGCAGTTAGAAATCTGCCCACTCATGGGACTTGATGATGTATACCTTAGTCCAGATACTCTGAGTTCAAGGCCAGCCAGGACTACATAGTAAGACCTTGTTTCCAAAACAAGAAAGAAAGAGAAAAAAAAAGGGAGAGAGAGAGTGAGAGAACGAGCATGCATTGCCCACTCACATTCCCAGGAAATCCCAAAGGTGGCACATGATGAGCCATCACTCTAGGCCCTACTTTAATCCCACTTAAGACACTTGCATTTCTGGTCTGCTGGTCTCCTTAGGTCCAGTAGGCAAGGTTCCTGAGGCTGAGACACTGCACTGTATCTTGACATTCCTTTATTCCATGCAGGTATTCTACAAACCTGTTGCTTTACCAAGGACCAAGATGGGGGTCTTGTTTAGGCTGGCAAAGAACTGGAGGTCTGGCCCCTTCTGTGAGCTGGGTTACAGGCATAGGTCAACATGTCTTACCAAAGACTTAAACTATTTTCACATTCCAGGGTCATATGGCCCTGAGGCTCTGTGAAATTCACATTTATGACTGTTGGTCTGCATTTATACCAGAAATCAGATTAGCGAGTTTTGAAACAGAATAGTTAATTTCTGGTTACATTTCACTCACTAGAGGGATCTACCTTTCAAGTATTCACTTACACAAATCTTTTACACTATAGAAGTACAGCATAACACACATTAAAAATGGAAGTCCAGGGGTACAGTTTGGTTCTCCAACACCACAAAAATAAAAGAACACTTTGTGCTGTTACATCAGTGGCTTGCTTCCAGTTTGGGCTGCTGAGTGCATCTATAAAAAATACTTTAAGCCAGGCGGTAGTGGCGCACGCCTTTAACCCCAGCACTCGGGTGGCAGAGCCAGGCGGATCTCTGTGAGTTTGAGGCCAGCCTGGTCTATAAAGCAAGATAAGGAAAGGCTCCAAAGCTACACAGAGAAACCCTGTCTCGCCATAAAAAAACAAGGGCTAGTGCTGTAGCTCAGTGACAGCGTACTTGCCTTGAAATCATAAGGCCCAGTACTGCCAAATGTTTGTGTGTGTGCATGTGCATATTTTTCAGCAGGACATGGTGGTACACATTTAAATATTCAGCAAGGCTAAGGCAGGACTGCCAAGCTTGAGATCAGTTTGTGCTACAAAGATCCTATCTTTGTAGATGTAATTCTAAACAGTCTTATTAAATAAGAAACACAGAGCCAAATAAAGAGTTAAAAGCCCAGAGATCAGAGCAGTAGCCAAGAGCTAAGACCACCTTATCTTACCACTCCACTCGCTGCTGTCTTTCCCCTGAGAGACCTTCTTCCTGTGTCCTGTCTTTTATTGCCTTTCTGTTCTGCCTTCTCATTGGTTCTAAACCCAACCACATGACTTCCTCATCATTGCATGTCTATACAGACCTCCAGGTCTCTATGGTTCGGGTCACCACTTGGCTGTGTCCTTGAACACACAGAGACTCTGCCTGCCATGTGATTGGATTAAAGGGTGTGTGCCACCACCACTGCTAAATGGCTTGCTCTTAGCTCTGATCCCCAGGCAATTTTATTTATTAACATACAAATAAAATCACATTTCAGCACAAATAAAATATCACCATATATCTTTAAAAAATAAATTATGTGTGTGTGTATGTACACACACACACACACACACACACACACACACACACACACACACACACTCTCACCTGTAACTGTCTGTATAGTCATTTTTACTATGTCTCTAATGAATGGGGTTACTGGGTGAAATGCAGTGTTTTAATAGATTAATGCTAACAAACTACTTTCTGATGCAGTTGAACCAGCACGTAATCACAGCATGAGTTTGTGCTACTTCACACTGTGCCAACACTTGATTACTGGTCTGACTTTCATGCTCCTGGATTTGAATGCTGTTTGGCAACAGGGGCGTCTTTTATTGCAGACTGCCTCTGCTTACCGCCCTATAGTGCTTGCTTGCTTTCTATTTATTCAGTGTCTGTATATAGATATGTGGGCACCTGTGCACGGTATACAAATGGAGGTCAGAGAACAACCTGCAACAGTTGGGTTCTCTCTTTCTATTATTTGGGCCCTGGGGATTGAACTCAGGTTGTCAGGCTTGACAGCAGGCCCCTTCTATCTTGCTGGCCCCTGGTGCTTTCTTTGGCAGAAGCTGAGTGTATGTTTAAGTGCGGGCCTCATTCTGGGCCCAGGCTGATTTCTCTATTTTGATTCACAAGTCCATTTGTTTATAGAAAATCTTTTGTTGAGCCATTAAAATGGCTCAGTGGGTAAAGGTGCCTGTTGCATGAACACATGCATGCACACAAGGCAATAACAAAAAAGAAAATCATTTAATAGTTAAGAGGTAGGCTGGGCATGGTGGTCCATGACTTTAATTCTAACACTCGGGAGGCAGAGATAGGAGGATCTCTGTTTGAGGCCAGCCTAGTCTACCCATCAAGTTCAAGGACAGCCAGGACTATATACAGTCCCTACCTTAGAAAAACAAAAAATGGGCCAGGCAGTGGTGGGGCACACCTTTAATCCCAGCACTCAGGTGATAGAGGCAGGAGGATCTCTGTGAGTTTAAAGCCAGCCTGGTGTACTACTGTTACACAGAGAAACTCAGTCTCTCATTCTCTCTCTCTCTCTCTCTCTCTCTCTCTCTCTCTCTCTCTCTCTCTCTCTCTCTCTCTCACACACACACACACACACACACACACACACACACACACACACACACACACACACACACCCATGGGGGGGAGGGAGGGAGGGAGGGAGGGAGGGAGGGAGGGAGGGAGGGAGGAAATTGAACCACTTCTAATCAACTCACTGAGTTGGGGAAGTAGAGCTTGTAAGAGGCCCTAGTTTCAATCTCCAGTACCAAAAGGGAGGAAGGGAAAGGGCAAGAGTCACTTCAAGTTCAAGGCCAGCTTCATCTACATTGAGACTTTGTTTCTAAACCACCCCACACACACATCTCCAAAAAGAAAAAGGAATTATGCATGGTGTCACACACCTATAATCCAAAAAAGATGGGACTTATGAGTTCAGGGCCACCTTCAGCTACCAGTTTAAGGAAGCCTGCGCCCTGTGCTACATGTGACCTCTAAAACCAACAAACTCCGTCTTAAAAAGCCAGGCATGATGGGCATACCTACAATCCCAGAATTCAGGACAAAGAAGCAGAACTGTTGCAAGTTTGAGGCCAGCCAGTTCCAGGCCAGCCAAAGGTACACAGTGAGTCTCAAAAGCAAAACACACATACATGTGCTCTGGGAGCAAAAACAGCTATACAACTTTCCAGAACACCAAAAAGAGGTGTTTTAACACTCAGAAACCTGGCCTGTGTACTTGTTGCAGAATATATCACATCAATCAGGAAAAAAAAAAAAATAATCAAAGGCCCAAAAATAAGCTGGATTTATAGTTTATACCATCAACAGCCTCTCAGTAAGCTAACAAATCATACAACCCAAACCTGAAAATAAACACAATTTTCCTCATTAGCCTCTCAGATTGCCTCATGCAGAAGCAGGTCTAGCCCACATGAAGCACAACACCAACTGAGAAGGGCAGAGTCCAGAGCCTCTCAGCAGCTGCACACAGGCAGAGGCCCCAGTGCCCTCTGAGATCTGCAAATCCCCACATTCCAATTCCAGACACTCTAATGTCTTTTGCTGGCCTTCTTCCCTTCACTGACTGATGACACTCAGAAGCCAGGGATGGTGGCTCATACCTAGAACCCCTGCAGTTCTGAGTCACTAAGGCAAGAATGTTACTCTGAATTCAAAGCCATGCTGGACTACAGTGTAAGCTCCTAAGCCTAGTCTACTGAATGGTACATAGTTTCAGCTATGGGCAGTTCCTTTTGTTTAGGTCAATCTAGTATTCAGAATCTGAGCCTGTCCCAATTTATTTGATGAAGCTTAATTTTATCTGAATTAATTTTATCTGAAAAAACCTTTTCTGGTATCTAACATAAATGTTTGAGGTTTTGTTACCTTCTTCCCAGCACCCACCCCTGATGGCAAATGCAGACTCTTTCAATCAGGAGTCCAAGGATTTCGACAGTATCTCCTAAAATTAGTATCCAATCCCATAAATTAAAGGCTGAAACCCACAAGGATGCCGCATATCAGACACCAGTCACAAGTAGAGTACAGGCTATCCACACTGCTGCTCAATTACAAATTTAAAAAACAAAAACTAAAAGACTCATTCAGGATCCCTACAGACCCCTTTATCAGATTTAATACTTTGTTAGAGCTCAGAACCCAAGAAAACATGTTGCTTAGTTTGTGATACAGTTCAGAAGCAGCCACATGAAGCACACACACAGGGCAGGGAACACCACCTTCCTGTTGCCAACTCCAAAGCTCCATGAACATTCTGACTCAAAGCTGGGCTGTAGTGGCAGTTTCTTATATTTTTAACAGCCCATCCTCCAGCTCCCTCCCTCCCTAGTGGCCCTAAATTTCCACCCTCTGATAACTTATTAGTGACCAAACTGTAGCCTGAGGCTAGCTATTCTGGGTCCCCAGTAAGTCATCTCATTAGCATAATCTTAGGGGCTCCTTACAAAATGGACCTGAGTAACAGGATCAAATAAATTCCCCCTAGCTAAGAGATTTGTTTCATGTCAGTCTCAGCACTGGGAGTACCAGGAGTTCAGGCCAGGCTGGTGCATAATGGAAGACCTATCTCCAAATATAAAAACAAAAACCAGATACTCAGGAAATCCCACAAGTTTAGGAGCTTGTGTCAGGAAATGAGCCAACAGCCAGATGTGTGTGTAGTTACTACACAAGGGGTAACTGACAATACAGGGAGCACCTGTCTCTGTCCTGATCTATACTATTGTAACAGTACTCTGTGGAGACTTATACAGGAGTCATTTCTCACAGCTGTGTCACAGTTGCGGGAGCTAGCAAGCCCAAGCTCCAGTCCTTTGCTGTCTGTGAGGAAGCCAGTTCCCCGCACAAGACC